CATTCATAGTCTATTACAAATAAAATATCTAAAGGATTATTTTTTTGATTTTCCTATAGTTATGCCTGTAGTTCTAAACTTTATTATTCTATTTGTTCATGAATTTATAATTGTCTGCATTTTCCATTAATTTAATTTTATTATTATTGTTAAAGGCTTTAGTTTTTACTATTTGTATTTTAAATAGATTATTCTTTTTCGTTTGTTTAATTATATAAGGAATTTTATTATTATTATTATTATTATTATTATTATTATTAGTGTGTTTTATAGGGTGTTTTTGTTAATTAAGAGAATTTTTTATTACTATTTGTATTTTGTTAAAGAATTTGGTTTATTAATTTTCTGTTTTACTCTTTTAGTACTTCTGGAATGTTATGTTTGTGTGAAACTTTGCAATTTTAGTTAAATTTAAACCCACAGTCTATTAACTTCAAAACTAAATTAAAATAAAATTGTTAATTATTAAATTTATACTAATCTGTATAATCTTAATTTATGCTTTATTTTATCCCCTAAATTTATTTTGATAATCCTTTTTCTTATTCAAAATCGAAAAGGTTTAGTAATTATTTAAATTGTATAGAATCCTTTTAGACATATTGCTTTGGAAATATTTAACTTAAGCTTATGTAATTTTTGGTAAATAATAATTCATTTTCAGTAAATCTATTTTTTTATAAAATCTAAAACAAAGCATTTGCTATTTGCTTTTTAGGATATATTATTATTAAGTTTTAGTTTTTGTCGTACGCTTTTAAAATCTCTTGTATGTCCTTTTAGGCTATTCTTAATTAACGGTTAGTGTCTGTATTACCGATTTTATAATTATTTATATTTACTAACTATTTAGTTTATTAATTTACTAAAACACAATAAATATTTTACAAATAATTTTAATCATGTATTTTCATGTCTATTAATAGTAAATATTAATCGTTTTATTTATCTTCGCTATTATCATTTAGAAATTGTTTGGCTTTTTTAATTTGTTTTTTTATATATAAATTAATAAATATATATTATATATTTATATAATAATTTTTTTTTTTTTTTTACAAGAAAATTCATTATTATTTTGATTTTAATTATCACTTTCTTATATTATATTTTATTTTAATAACTCTTCTTATATGTTGTTTATATATTTTTGCATAATCATATTATTATTATTTTTTGTTTGTATTTTTAATTAAATATATAACAAACAATATATAAATAAATATGAAAATTTCTTTTTATTTAATAATTTTTAGTAAAAGTAAAATTAAAATAATAAATATATAATTTTAGACTTATAAATTAAAAATATAAATATAGTTAAGTTATTTTAATTTATATTTTTTTTTAATGATAAAAACATATATAAAATAATTAATATTTAAATAATTTTCTATTTTTATTAATTAATAATTATTTTAGAATATATTTTTATATTTTTTTTTTTTTTTTACTAATAAATTTAAACTGTAATTTTAAAAGATTTAGATTAAAATAATTATTTTTTTTCTATTTTTTTAAAAGATTAAAACATTATGATAATTCATAAAATAGCTTTAAATATAATTTTAGATATTTTAGATTAAATTAATTTATTTTATTTAAAATAAATATTTTTAAATATATTTTTTTTATTATTAAATTTATTATAATTTATTTTTAAATATAAAATTTATTATCATAATTATTTAATGAATACTTATTATTTTTTATTGTTTTTATCCTTAAAAATTACATATTTCTAACATAAAAAAAAAATTGAAAAGTATAAAATAAAATATAAATAAACTTAAAAATATTATATAAATATTTTTATTTAATTTAAATATATATTTATTTATTAAATATTATTTTTGAATCTAATACACACATATATTTTATTTTTCTATATTTTTTATTTTGATTAAAAATAAATTATTTTTTTTAAAAAAAAAAAATCAAATAATATCCATAGTCTAAATTAAAAAATAATTAAATAATGGATATAAGATTTTAAATGTTAAAATAAATATTTTCATCGGTATAAAAATTATATTTTATCATTTATAAAGATAAAATAAATTAAGACTATTTGAATTAAACTATATATTTTACAAAAATTTAAATACAAAAATAATTTCTATTAATTTTAATATAAAACATTATTGAATTTTATTAATATATATATAATTATTTTAATGAATAACTTATTTCAATATAATTTTTTATTTAAAGAATGAATATACTTGTTTATTATTCACAATATTAAATCATATTAATAATTGTTTAATATTTAATTTTTATCTTTTTAATAAATAAATACTTTATAAAATATTAAGAAAAAAAAAAAAAAAATCTATTAATATATGTAACTATAAATTAAAAATATTTAATAATAATTTTATTTCAGAAAAAAAATAAAAATAAGAATATATATTTATTGTTTAATAAATAAAAAATGCCTAATTTAATTTATTTAAAGATTAATAAAAATCAAAATTCTTTATTATTATTAAATTTTCAAATAATATGTATAATAAAATATCTTATGATATTAAAATGATAAAATTTTACTAATTAAAAATACATATAAAGTACTATATTAAATCTATAAAGTCTTTAAAATTAATTAATTTTCACAAATTCTTTTAATAAATTTTATAATCCTAAAATTATTTTATTATAATTTAATAAACGTAGTAATTTCTTTTTGAAAACACTGATTTTTAATTGTATTATCTTCTTAAACTAGTCTATATTTATTATATAAATAAATATTTAAGCTAATTCTCAATATGTTGTAAATTAATACTTAAATACTAATTATCCCAGAACTTTATGTTCATAGATATAATAAAACATTGATTTCAATTACAAATAAAATTTTAGTAAAAACTAAATAATAGAATAAAATATTAAAAAATTAATTTTCTGATAAATAAATATATCAAAAAATAGAAATGAATATAAATTACTATAATAGTGAGTTTATATATAATTGAAAATTATAAATATACTAAAGAAAGATAGATAAAATAGAAACTAAAAAATATATAATTAAAATAACTAAAAATATAAGGTAAAATAAGTCAGATATTATATGTAAAAATAATACTTATTTTAAAAAAAAGATATTTTATTGAAAATATGTGTTAAAATGGATATTGAAGAATCTTTAATAAATAAGAGAAATACCAGATTGTATTTATATAAATAATAAACCAAAAATTATAAATTGGTATCTTTTGAGATTAAAACATTTTAAAATTAATGTATAATAATAGTTTAGGATATATATTTACTTAAAATAAATAAAATATTTTAAAAATGCATATTAAAATATAAAAATAAAATAAAAATCGAATGAATTTAATTCATTAAAAAATAATATTAATATTATTATAATATTTAGTAATAAATTAATTTTAATTATTTAGTTTTTTATAAATTAAATAAAAATTATAATCAATATTTTCATTAATTAAAAAATAAAGTATATATATATAATATAATATTTACTCCCTTTTATTAAAAGTTTGTTTATTTAGCAGGCCTTTATTATATAATTTTATTATTTTATAAATATAATTATATTATATACTTTTTATATAATATTATCACATATTTAGTTTTATTTAATTATATGTAGTTAGTTATATTTAGTAATATATTCAATATTATTTTTCAAATTTTACTTTTAATTATCTAATTTAATTTTTTGTTAATTTAAATATTCAATATAAAATAATTAGTTAAAATCCTTATAAATACCTAATATTGTATTATAAAAAAAGAATCAAGACTTAAAATATTTTTCTTTTTTATTATAATTTTTTTTAATATAAATATCAAAATTTTAAAATTTTGTTGATTCATTATTTTATTTTATTTTATTTTTTATCTTTAATTATTATATTTTTGATAAAGTTAAAAATAAGAATTGATAAAAAAAAGTATTTAATTATAATAAAAATAATAATATGTATAAAAATAAAATAAATAATAATATTAAATAAAAAAAATATGTAATAGCCAAATTAATTATAATAAGTTTAAATTGAAAATACATTCGGATTATTAAATCTAATATTATGTGTAATAGTTGCATTTTTAGGAATGATTTAATTTATAAATCTGGCAATTGATTGCTCCCATTCTTATTATTAATTATTAGTACCTTAAATAATTTTATTATTATTTCCTTTAGGATATTATTTTACTAATTAACATAAATTTAAATTAAAAAATTTTGTATTTTTTGTAGCCTATTTATATGCTTTAATAACTCTTTGTGTAAAAGCTAAACATTTTGACAGGATTTTTATATAAGATAAATTAGTGTAATGCAATAATTAAAATAATAATTACGTAAAATATGGGTTTGTTTATTTTAATATATTAGTAAATATATTTTAACATTTATTATAAGTATGTCTGATGTGGAAAGAAATAATTTAAATTGCAAAACAACAAAAACAATAGAAAGAATGAAATAAAAATATATTTATATAAATTTTCTTAAATAAATATTATTTTTAAACATTTTTATTTATTTATAAAAAAAATAATATTTTTAATATATTTAATTAATAAAGATTCTTAAAATTATTTATAAATTTAAACCAAAATTAAATATTTTTAATAATTTTTTTTTTTTTCATTAAATAAAAATTAAATCTATATTAATAATAAAATTTTAAAAATTAATATTATTTGTTAAATAAATTTTTGTAAAATTTTATTATATATAAATAATATATGTTTTAATTTGTATATATAAATGAATTTATAATTTTTTAAAAAGTGTTTTATATATAAAAATAATTATTTAAAGTTTTATAAATACACTTGTTAATATAATATTAATACTAAAAAAAAAAAATTATTATTATTTTTAATTTAATAAATCATTAATTTAATAAAAAAATAATTATATTATACATCATAATTTTTAATAAAAAAAAATTAATTAACATACAAAAATTAAAAAATTTAAAAAATATTTATTTATATAAAAAAAATCAATTATCATCATCATCACTTGAGTAATTAACAACTTATTATTATTTTAATGGAACAACTTTTTCAATTTTATCAGAAATTTTTTAAATTTTTATAAATTTATGTTAAAAATTTTACTTTTCATTAATTTTTTACATTTTATTATTATTATTATTATTATTATTACTATTATTATTATTATTATTATTATTATTTATAATATTATTATTTTTGTTTGTATTATTAATTTAAAAAAAATTTTCCATTTATAATTATTATTATTAATTTTCATTATCTAAAATCCTTTTTATTTTACAATTTTCTTTAAAATCCTACATTTTAAGATTTTCATTTTCATCTAATTCTTCATAAATTTAATTTTTTATTTGTTATTCAACCATTCTTTTTATTAATTCTTCAGGAGTCAAATAAAGTGTTTTTTTGCTATTATGTCTAATTTCATCTAAAGCGTCTAATATTTATAATTCCCTTTTGCTATCCATTGTTCTATTTTCTAAAAATCTCATAGCATTTCCCTATTGATAAAAATTATAACAATATATAAATTTTTTTTATATATATATATATTATTGATTCAAATTATTTACTTCTTCATCATTATCCCTTAATTATTTTAGTGTTTCTTCCGCTTTTTCATTATCTCTAGATGCTTCATAGTTTCTTGTTGCTCCATATTCTAGTACATAATCATGATTTTTCGGATCGGTTTTAAATGTTATTTCTGTATAGCAATGTGTGCATTTTAAATAAAATCTATAAATTCTTATTCCTAAATAATTTTCATTTAAAACCGTTTCTTTTCTCATATTAAATTTTGTTCCTATAGATAAATAATTACCACATGTATTACATCTAACACTATTTAATTTTTTTTTATAAAAATAATATTTATTACATTTACTTATATAAAATAAAAATACGTCATAGGAAGCATCATACGAACATTATCCTATTTATCTATTGGACGTTTATTTTTTATTAATTTCGCAGGATTAAAATCTGGGGGATAATATTTAATTAATACTTTACGTTCTGCCATATTTTTTTTTTTTTTTTTATGAATATATATTATAATATTATATATTAATTAATTATTTTATTAATATTTTTTGTATATATTTAATTAAAATAAATCTATTAAAATTTGTTTTTTTTGTGTTTTTTTTTCAAGATTTTTAAGTTTTTAATATACCTATTTTTTTAGTCAAAACTTAATATTATTACTTGACTTATTTTTGTTTTTATTTTATTAAAAAAGCTAAAGCAGATTCCTATATTTATTTTTATTGAATCAATCTATTTTTAGTAAGAAAATTAGTTTATATTTTTTTTAAACTTCTATATTCATTTCTAAAGCTATAACTTTTAGGAAAAGAAATGCTTTTTTGAACATTTTATGTAGCTCTTTGAATATAAAAAGACATTTATTAAGTGTTAATTTTAGGTTTCTTATTGTCTTCAATAAAAGTAGTGTAATAAAATTTATTTTTTTCGGAATAATTAACTAGCTTTTATAAAAAATTGTATTTTAAAGATATATTGGAATTTATTTATTTAATATTATTTTAATGAAAATTTTATTTTTAAATTATAATTTTATATTGATTAGTATTTTAAGAAGAAGTTAATTAAGTCTAAGGAGTTTATTAATTGAAGCAATAATTATATTTAAAATTGTAGTTTATCCGATATTCTCTCCATTTATATTTAATATTGACCTCATCTTTTATTTGTTATAATGATTGTCCATTTAATTTAATAGCATTTAAAAATTTCTAAAATAAATAAATAATAATATTAAGATATACATAAAAATATGAATATATATATAAATATACTTCTTTATTAATAAAATATACTTAAACATTTTAAGAAACACATTATGCTTATTAAACTCTTTATGAAATATTATTAAAAATTTCATATTCACCAAAACATTGATTATAAGATAATAAAGCAACATTTATTCTTTATTTAGATTTTTTTAAATATTTTTTTTAATAGGATATATTTAATCTTTTTATTTTATCCTCTTAAAATGAATAATTATCATTAAATTATATATTTTGAGTGATTTATATTTCTCCGTTTTGAATAAAATAAATATTTTCAGATAATTCATTTTCTTAATAAATTATATTTCCTTTATTATAATTTAGCATTTTCATATAAGATATTATTTACAAAAGTTTAGATTTAACAATATCTTTAAAAAAAAAAAACTGACAAAAAAATTCCATTTTATCTCTTAATAATTATTATTGATTAACTAATTTAATATTTTATAATATTTCATTATTATGATCTTATAATAAATCATTCTACATGATATATTAAATTATTATATTGTTAAATTATTTAAAAAAAATAATAGGTATATATATTTATATATTTATACATTTAATTTTGTTATTAATAACTTTATGATTTATTATATTTATATTATTTTATTTCAATATTTAAAATAATAAAGAATATTTTAAATTTAATTTAATATTTATGTTAATAATTTTTTAATTAATTTAATAAATATTTATATTTTTTTTATATTATTTATTTATATATAATATTTTCTATTAAATTTATAATTTTTATTTTATTTTATTTATATTTTTTTTTAATATAAATATTTATTATTTTATATATAGTAAAATTATTATGTAATATTATCTTAATACTAATATTATTATATTTTACAAATTTAAATAAATTTATATATTTTCATTTTATGTATGAAAAAATTAGAATTTATATATAATTTATTTTCATTTTTTTTAACTATTATAATTTTTAGTAAAAAATATTATATAATTTATATAAATTATTTATTTATTTAAAAAATAAATATGTTATACAAAATATGATATTATTTTTATTTATATTAATTTTTAATTAAAATTTAATGAATATATAAATTAAAATTAAAATATATTTATATTCTTTTTAATATATATATAAATAAATTATTTTTTATAATATAAAAAATCTTAAAATATTTATTCTTTGGATAAATAAAATATTTATTATATATATTATTACTTTATATATAATATTTATATAAATTTATATATATAAATATTTAAAATTAAATAATTATATAATTTTTCTCTTTTAATTTGTAAATAAATATATATATATATAATATATATATATATATATATAT